GGCGTGGATTTATTAAAGAATCATTTTGTGGCAGCCTTCTAGGCGTGGATTTATTAAAGAATCATTTTGTGGCAGCCTTCTAGGCGTGGATTTATTAAAGAATCATTTTGTGGCAGCCTTCTAGGCGTGGATTTATTAAAGAATCATTTTGTGGCAGCCTTCTAGGCGTGGATTTATTAAAGAATCATTTTGTGGCAGCCTTCTAGGCGTGGATTTATTAAAGAATCATTTTGTGGCAGCCTTCTAGGCGTGGATTTATTAAAGAATCATTTTGTGGCAGCCTTCTAGGCGTGGATTTATTAAAGAATCATTTTGTGGCAGCCTTCTAGGCGTGGATTTATTAAAGAATCATTTTGTGGCAGCCTTCTAGGCGTGGATTTATTAAAGAATCATTTTGTGGCAGCCTTCTAGGCGTGGATTTATTAAAGAATCATTTTGTGGCAGCCTTCTAGGCGTGGATTTATTAAAGAATAATTTTTACAGCAGCCTTCTAGGCGTGGATTTATTAAAGAATAATTTTTACAGCAGCCTTCTAGGCGTGGATTTATTAAAGAATAATTTTCGAGCAGACGTAGATTTATTAAAGAATAATTGGCAGCCTTCTAGGCGTGGATTTATTAAAGAATAATTTTTTGCAGGGCTTCTAGGCGTGGATTTATTAAAGAATAATTTTTTGCAGGGCTTCTAGGCGTGGATTTATTAAAGAATAATTTTTTGCAGGGCTTCTAGGCGTGGATTTATTAAAGAATAATTTTTTGTAGGGCTTCTAGGCGTGGATTTATTAAATAATAATTTTTTAGCAACCTTCTAGGCGTGAAGAGTCACTGAAAGGCGTGTATTTTTATAGAGCTATAATTATAGAATGAATGCTCAAATTGATTAATGAAATGTTGCTGGAAAAAAGTGTTCTATAATCCTTGACATTAATCCGTTACAAAACATTAATTTGTTCGAATTATTGTTACACTTTTAAAAATTAATGATTCTCTTCTATTTTTCAAAAATATTGAACATCTTCATTTGTCACCAACCAGCATAATTTTCAAAAGAAAAAAACTAAATATCAAACAAGAAAATAAATATTGAATTTTGTACAAAGGCGCCAGGACATTAAATGTGGTGCAGTTGTTTTTGCCAGCCCTTAATTGAGGGTGCCGATCTGCGCAGCAAACAGTGTCAAAACAGAAATTTGTTTTTCTTCTTTTGCTTCAGTGTTTTGCCTACTCATCATCATCAACAGCGGTGTTGTTCTTTCTTTCGTTCCTGTCATCATCAGCAGTGGGGGTTAAATTGATAGACTAATGTCCTGATGTCTTTTTTTGCTGTTTTCGGTTGTGTGGATATGTAAACACGCAGATACATGTTAACGAATATACTAAGGAACAGTGTATTGAAAAAAAAAACTATTTCAGAAAAATTAAAAATACATGCTATGCGATTTATTAAATATATATTAAAAAAGAAGGCGTGGAATTTTTTTATTATTCCCATTTGTGGTTATTTGAAAAAAAAAAATACTCCTAAATGAATGCTAAAATTAATCTTTTAAAAATCCACGTTCAAAAGGGCCCTAATAAATATACACCTAAAAAGCTGCTAAAAATTAACCTTTAAAAGAAAATCTAATAATAAATAGAAGAAGTCTATTAAAAATAATAAATCCAGGTCTAGAAGTCTATTAAAAATTGCTAACAAGTTTATCTTTAATAAATCCACGCCTGAGGGGCGCTAAAAATAATTCTTTAATAAATCCAAAATTATCTTTAGTAAATCCACGCCTAGAAGGCTGCTAATAAAAGCATATTTAATAAATCTACGCCTAGAAGGCTGCTAATAAAAGCATATTTAATAAATCTACGCCTAGAAGGCTGCTAAAAATATCGTCTTTAATAAATCCACGCCTAGAAGGCTGCTAAAAATATCGTCTTTAATAAATCCACGCCTAGAAGGCTGCTAATAAAAGCATCTTTAATAAATCCTCGCCTAGAAGGCTGCTAAACAAATCATCTTTAATAAATCTACGCCTATAAGGCTGCTAATAAAAGCATATTTAATAAATCTACGCCCAGAAGGCTGCTAATAAAAGCATATTTAATAAACCTACGCCTATAAGGCTGCTAATAAAAGCATATTTAATAAATCTACGCTCAGAAGGCTGCTAAAAATATCGTCTTTAATAAATCCACGCCTATCAAGCTGCTAAAAATATCGTCTTTAATAAATCCACGCCTATCAAGCTGCTAAAAATATCGTCTTTAATAAATCCACGCCTAGAAGGCTGCTAATAAAAGCATCTTTAATAAATCCTCGCCTAGAAGGCTGCTAAACAAATCATCTTTAATAAATATACGCCTAGAAGGCTGCTAAAAATATCGTCTTTAATAAATCCACGCCTAGAAGGCTGCTAAAAATATCGTCTTTAATAAATCCACGCCTAGAAGGCTGCTATAAAAATCATGTTTAATAAATCCACGCCTAGAAATCATGCTATAAAAATCATGTTTAATAAATCCACGCCTAGAAGGCTGCTATAAAAATCATGTTTAATAAATCCACGCCTAGAAGGCTGCTATAAAAATCATGTTTAATAAATCCACGCCTAGAAGGCTGCTATAAAAATCATGTTTAATAAATCCACGCCTAAAAGTTTGCTAAAAAATATCGTTCTTTTTTCTTTTATTAATGAAAATTTTTTAATTTTTTTGTAGCACTGTGCCTTATTAATGATGAGCGAAGGATGTGCTTTTTCTGGTGTTTTCTTTTTCGTCACCCAAATCGAAACTCTAAGGTTACCATACCAATAAACAAATTTGAAATTTGTTGTTATTTTTTCGGGTTTGTTTACTTTAACAACAACAACAACAAACCTCGGCCCTGTGGTTGTTGTCATTTGCATGTTTATCAGGGCTTGTTTTTCTCTTGGCATAATTTTGTCCTTTTAGGACAGCTGTATAAACAAATTTTAGTCGTGTTTTAATATAGCGTGCGGATAAGAAGATGGTGGAAGTAAATTGTCGCGGAATATGATAAAAATTAACTTTCAATTTTTTTAGTAAACCAAAAATATATAATTAAAAAATATTGAAAATTAATAATTTAATAAAAAAAAAATTAAAACCAACCACATCGTGGATATTGGTTGTCTTTTTCCTCCCAATAATTACAGTTTAAAAAACAATCAAGCATAACCACCTCTTTGCCAAGGGCTTGTCGTGCCAACTTTATATCCTGCAACCGAGCAAGGATATCATTACAAACAATTGCTACGTGCCGCTCGTAATATCCTTTCCCCCTTATGCTCTTGCCTTTCATTGTACATTTCATGTAGAATAATATTATTCAATTGTTTTATGCATTACATCGGGGTTGCGGCGAACTCATTACCCTCCATGGCAACACAATGATATCTCTCTTTGTCCTTGTTCTCTCAAATCCCTTGAACAATCAAAAATTTAAAATATCTAGAGCTCTCGTTGTCCTTTAGATGGATTGCTTAGTTGGACAGAAAAGATCAAAATAAGCTTATCACACTCTAGAATCTTTTTGTTGTTGTTGCTGTGGTTGTTGTTGCTTCGATTCATAGTGATTATGCTCAAAATAATTACAAAGGAGATTTGTGTGAGTGTGTGTGTGTGCGTGTTGGTTTTAAGGATTCCATTGATATTGAGTTTTAAATTTTTAATCCGTTTTCTCTTTTTTTTTTTTGGTTATGCCTCAGCGAATGTAAATTGAAAATTGTTTTAATAAGCTAAAGGACAATTGTTTGATTGGAAATTAAATGGGAAAAAGGAGGGACAGGATAATGTTTTTTAGAATAACCGTTGAATGTTATGGCTTCGAAAAAATCTACTTTTATAAATCCACGCCTATTTTTATACCCTCAGCCTTTAGGCTAATGCACTTTGATACGGTGAAAATGTGTCTCATCGAAATATTGGTTTTAGACCCCATGTTTCTTTGGACCAAATCCGTTTTCGAAAATTTGTAGTCAATTTACACATGTCCCTCCGTCCGTTGTCCGTCTGTCTGTGTGGCTGGCTGGTGCGCACAATAACTCTCGATGGCGGCAACCGATTTCATTCAAACTTTGCATCTTAATATTTCATCCAAACTTAGTTTAAATTCGAAAATGGGGAATATCGGTCCACTCCTTCTGTTACCTCCCCCACAAAATGGTCAAAACTGTGCTAAAATTAATTTTATAATAGCATGCAAACCGATTATCCGATTTTAACGAAACTTTGTACAACCTATTATCTTTACCAAGCCAGATTAAGTTTGGTCCACTCTTTCTGGTACCTCCCCCTCAGAGGGTCAAAACCACAATCTATTACCTTCACCAAGCCTATATCAAGTTTGAAGATTGAACACATTGATCCGCTCTTTCTGGTACCTCCCCCACAAAATGGTTAAAATTGTGCTAACATTTAATTTTAAAATAACATACAAACGGACTATCCGATTTTAATGAAACTTTATACAATCTATTGTCTTCACCACGCCTAAATCAAGTAGGAATATGGGACCCATTGGTCCACTCCTTCTAGTACCTCCCCCACAAATGGTCAAAATTTTCAATATTTGTAAATTCTATATCAGAGAATGGAATGTCCGATGTGAACCAAACTTTTCACAACCAATTTTCTTTACGAAATCTATATTAAGTCCAAAGATAGGACCCATTGGTCCACTCCTTCTGGTACCTCCACCACAATTGGTCAAAATTTTCAATATTTATAACCTTGCAAAACCTATTTTCTTTACCGACCCTATATCAATTCTGAAGATATATTCAGTAGTCCACTCCTTCCGGTACATCCATCACTAATGCTCAATATTTTATAAAATTTTATTAACATTAAATCCGAAACCTCTTTGACAAAAACACATTTCTTATATAAAGCTAATAAAACAATCTGTGTGTAATTCCGAAGACCTCCGCAAAGCAAAGGCTGTCGACATCTGTCGACAACACCGACTGGCATCCTTAAAATTAAATTTTACAACTTCTTTGCTGCAAATCTCGAATATTTATGTATCGGGTCGATTTTCTCCGCATATGATTTTCCACGAAATGAAAATTGGGAATTCTCCACCTCAAACAATGTTTCAAATTCCAATTTTTCTCCAATCTTCTGTGAAAATCTTGAAGTAAAGGCTGCTGTTATGGCCTGAGGTCTTTGATCCTTAATGTGGCTGGGTAGGAGCTGTAATTCATTTTCATCGCCATCCCGTAATTTCTTAGCATATTCGTTAAGGAATTCGGCTAACGACAAGGCAATACCCTTTCGCCCATATTCGGTTCGTGTCGCCAAAAAGGTTAATTCAATCCAACAGTCGATCTGCCATTCTTTGTTGATGTCATAGGTATACTCAACATAGTGCAGATAGTTTCCTACCGCTTTCATATTTTCCGTTTTGAAGGAGTCGAACACGTCGTCGAGGGTTATGTTGGCGGAGGGATTCTGTAGAGTAGAGCAGAGTTAAATTTTGGAAATCATTGTTTCTTATAGAGAAATTTCAAAAGATTTTTCAATGGGAATCAAAATGTCCCTAGAAGATCCTTCAGACCCCTCTTGGGTCTGTAATGAAACTCACAGTTTTTTCAAAGAATTCTAATACCTACCACCATTTTATTAATACACATGGCCACCAACTGCTTAGTTTTGACATCTCGGGCCGCAAATGAAATATTATCCTTGAGTATGGCCCGAATTAGTTGTTCCATTTCGGCAATGGTTTCCGATGATTCCAACAGCTCACAGGCAATGCTGACATTTTCATATTTCATAAAATAATTTTGGTAGAGCTGAAATAACACATAATTATTCTCTAATAAATCCTCACCTAGAAGTGTGCCAAAAAATTATTCTTTAATAAATCCACGTCTAGAAGGCTGCCTCAAAAATTTTTCTTTAATAAGTCCACGCCTAGAAGGCTGCCTCAAAAATTATTCTTTAATAAGTCCACGCCTAGAAGGCTGCCTCGAAAATTATTCTTTAATAAATCCACGCCTAGAAGGCTGCCTCAAAAATTATTCTTTAATAAGTCCACGCCTAGAAGGCTGCCAAAAATTATTCTTTAATAAATCCACGCCTAGAAGTCTGCTCGAAAATTATTCTTTAATAAATCCACGCCTAGAAAGCTGCCGAAAATGTATTCTTTAATAAATCCACTCCTAGAAGCCATCCAAAAAAAAACTTCTTTAATAAATCCACGCCTATAAGGCTGCCTGAAAAATTATTCTTTAATAGGTTAGGTTGAAAAGAGCGGTAGATGACGCCACCACATGTCCAACATAAGATGGACATACACATAAGCCAAATGAGGCCTGTGCGCTCTAGAATTGCGGAGAATGTTGGAATTAGTGAAAGCTTAGATTAAAAAGCTTTTGGGTTTGATTCCCCTATGAATCTAGGAGTTCAGTATTTTTTGTGAACTCCTTCTGTCTCTCCATTCACACCCCCTCAGATCGGTTAGTCCGTGAAGAGTGTAATTTCCCAAGAATTGTTTCCGAAGGCTTGTAAATGCTGGGCAATGGCACAGGAAATGTTCCAGCGTTTCAATGTCTTCCCTACACCTCCGCCTGCAAGATCGTGCTATGATCTATCTGTAAGACGAAGAGAAATTTCGGTACCCGGTTCTTCTATAAAAAGTCCCAGTCCAGATTTTCCTCCTAGTCGAGAGCCATCTGTGTAGCAACAGTTACCAGGCATCATCTCAACTAGTGTTCCACTATTCCATTGTTCTCTATCTGGTATTATAGTTTCACACCGTGTCACTACTCTCGTTTCAGGTATACGGTCCGCGTCAAAGGTATTGATTGTTGACTCAGTAGTTGCCTTAAAATGTTTTTGTGCGGTATGTTGTGTCCGGTGTCTATCCACTCGTCCATTGCCTTATGTCTTAAAGCTGCAACCCCCGCTTCATATTTTATTTGGATGTCTATTGGGTCTATATATAATATTGTCTCCAAAGCCCAGTTGGAGTTGTACGCATTGCTCCACATATTCCTAGGCAACACGTTCTTTGAACTTTCTGCAACGTTTTTACGTTACATTGCTATCCACGAGACAACAGACGTGTATGTTAGAATTGGTCTAATAACGCTATTATAGATCCAGTGTATCATCTTTTTGATTGAAACCCCATTTAGATCCTACGGCTCTTCTACAGAAAGACCAGCATCTATGGACCTTGTCGGCCCTTTGCTGTAAATAGTCTTTCCATTTGAGTTTCTTATCTAGAATTACTTCCAGATACTTAACTTTGTTTGATATGGCTATCGTTTTGTTTTGAAAGATGGGCTCTTCATACTGACCTATTTTTGTCTTTCTAGTAAAAAAACATATCTCCGTTTTGTTCGGATTTACGTTTAAGCCCATCGGTTTTGCCCCGTCGTAGGCGATTTTTAGCACCGTTTCGGCTTTCCTGCATAGTAAATTGGGATTCCTTCCCCAAAGAAGTATTATAACGTCAACTGCATAACAGATTGGTTCAAATCCTTTATCCGTTAAGTTCCTTAAGAGTCCATTTATAGTAGTTACCCACAGGAGCGGTGACAAAATCCCTCCCTGTGGTGTTCCCTGACCTACTTGTATGCTACAGCTAATCCATCGATTCCTTAGCATATAGTTAACCCAGTCTATGATTTCCCGGTCAACTTGGAAGGTATCTAAGGATTGGATAAGCATATTAGTGCTGACTCCTTCATGTCAATGCATACCGCTAAGGTATACATCTTCTCAGCGAAGGTGCCCTCAATATAGAGTACTACCTCATGTAAAGCGCTTTCCACTGATCTCCCCTTTACATACGCACGTTGTTTGTATTTCAGCGCATCATTAGGTATACTGCTCTTTATCATGGTGTCGATTGTACGTTAAATGATTATGAGTAGGAAAGAAGTTAGCCTTATTGGCCGATATGATTTTGGTGTGGCGTAGTTTGCCTTGCCGGGCTTGGGTATGAAGACTAGCCTGGCTTCCTGCCAAGCTTTTGGTGTGTACGTCAACCTTAAACATGCATTAAAGAGTGCGGCTAAATTTGGTGATAAAAATACCGCATTTTTTTGTAGTAACGCGGGGAAAACGGTATCCGGTCCTGCCGCTTTCAATGATGAGAAGCTTTTTAAGGCTTCTAACACCATTGAGTTGCCGATAATAGGTTCCTCTGACCTTTCTTCCCTATCTGCCATGACATCGTCCATTGTCGATGTGTTCGCTGGGAATTGAGCATTCATTAGGAACCTTAGTGTTTCCTCGATTGTTTCTATCCTATTACACTCACCGTCTAGCATAGTTTCGGGTTGGGTGTGGGTCTTGGATAGAAACTTCTTGATTTTTGAAAAGTCGTTGACACTATCTACCTGTTCGCAGAACAGCTTCCAGGAGTTGCGTTTGGCGTTTCTTGTCAATTTATTCTATTATTTCCATTTATCTCGGAAGTTGTCCCAGAAAACTGTAGAGTTTTTTCGGCGTGCTCTGTTGTAATGCTTTCGGACCTCTTTTCCTTTGTTTCGAATCTCCCCTGTCATCCAGGGTTTTTCAAAGGCATATCTCCTTTCTCGAAGAGGACAACTTTCTTCGAAAGCCTTTACAATTACTTCCGTTAATTTGTTGACGTTCCTGCCTATGTCATTCGTGTCTAGGCACGCAGAACAGCTTCCAGGAGTTGCGTTTGGCGTTTCTTGTCAATTTATTGTATTCTTTCCGTTTATCTCGGAAGTTGTCCCAGAAAACTGTAGAGTTTTTTCGGCGTGCTCTGTTGTAACGCTTTCGGACCTCTTTTCCTTTGTTCCGAATCTCCCCTGTCATTCAGGGTTTTCCAAAGGCAGATCTCCTTTCTCGATGAGGACAACTTTCTTCGAAAGCCTTTACAATGTCAGCCTGTCTATGTCATTCGTGCCTAGGCACTCATAATTTGGTTGCCCTAAACTCTCTTTGACTAGTCTCCCAAACTTTAACCAGTTAGTTTTAGACTTGTTTTGGAAGTATATGGGTTTCGGCGGTGGCCGTTGGATTTTGAACATAATATATTTGTGGTCAGAAGAGGAGTACTCTTCTGCGACTCTCCAATCCTGGATCTCATCTATTAAGTTTGCTGAAAATTTTGTTATATCTAATACCTCCTCTATAATTCTGTTAACAAATGTAGTTTCTTTATTAAATTCACGGCTGCATATTGATTTTTTAAAAAATATTTTTTAAAAAATTCAGGTTTGAAATTTGCTTTAAATCCTCTCATAATTTTTTTTTTTTATTTATATTAAAAAAAATTTAAATTTCTTCTACCCACCTCAATTGTGTCATCATATAAATCCTCCGTAATCCGAACAATTTCAATGTCACCTAGAATTGTTTAATTTTATTTTCATTTATTTCAAAAAAATTATATAATTTTTTTAATACCATCACAGATCAATTTTAAACACTCTTTTGAAGCCATGCTGCTATTTGAAATTGTATTTTTTTATTATTTTTTCGAAAGTAGATATCTTCCGATTTTTGTTTTCTTTAAGCGTATTTTTTCAACAACCACCTTCCAACCCCAATATTTTACAACTAAATTGTGATTAATTTCTTTGCTCGTTGCAATCTTTCGAAATTACACTATGTCGCATGGACGCTCTCTGCTGCCGCTTCAGCAGGTTCCACATTCACTTTCATACTCAGCATTTAGTGGTGGTGGAGGCTAGAATGGGTTGTAGTTCCTCGATCGTTTAATATTTTCGTTCATTTGTTCTGCTGCTTATCATTTCTAATGATTTTAATAAAATGTTATCATTTGCAGTGGAAACATAGCTATTGAGAAACATAGCAATTTCGATACACTGAAATAAATTTCGATTATATTTTTTCGACAGAATAAAAAATATTTTTTCTTAATAACAAATAGGCCTGAATTTAAAAAAAAAATATTTTTTCGGCCAAAAAAATGTTTTTTTTTTTCTTTTAAACCAATTTTCTCTCAGTGTACTCGTAGTAAATTGTCATTCGGACATGTCTGGTGGCTTAGAACAAATACTATTTAATAGTAAAACAAATTGAGGAAGAGAGAATTGTTACGAGTGTGCTATTTATTTTTATTAAAGAGACTTGTCATGATGGCGCTCCATTATTTGTGTCAAAGTTGTGCATGACGTTTCCCCTATTTCGTAAAACGTCTGAAAAAAAAATAATAAAAATTAATTGAAATCGATCGAGTTAAACTTAGTTAACTTTTTAACGGACCGACAGACTGACTGACCGATGTGTGTTCTATTAATAGTTATGAAGATATAAGGGTGTATAGATTGGAAATTGATAAAAGATAAGATAAAGTGAGATTTTTTTTTAAATTATTTTTTCAAGAAACCATAAGGCGTGGATATTTTAAAAATTATTTTTTCAAGAAACCACAAGGCGTGTTATTTTTTTAATATTTTTTTAGAGAAACTAAAAGACCAAAACATGTATTGTCTTATTGCATTACTAGCATATATCCGCTACTTCGTTACCGAATGGGGGTAATATTAAAACATGTATAAACATATTTTATTATCACAGAAAATATTTTATTTTCACAGAATACTGCATATGTCAGAAAAACTAAACAATCCACACATTAATATCGACCATAAATTGAATTTGTGTACCATTTAGTACCAAATTTCATGATTCGAGCTCTAAAGGTTCACCCAAATCCAGATTTTAACAAATTTAGTTCCATTTAGCACACATTATTTCCATAAGCACCCTCCTCAACCATCCAAAAAAAATTTCCTGCATACCCCGAACCTACAGCATTTTCCAAAACTTCCTACTTAAACCATAGGTGATCTCAAATCCATGTTTCAGGATTCCAACTCTGTCGGTTCACTCACAATTCAAAATGTACCAAATTTAGTACACAATAGTACAAATTTCCAAAACTTCCTACATACCCCAATCCTACACTTTCACACTGATCCTTAATCAAAATTTCAGGATTCAAACTGTATCGGTTCACTTACAATTCAAATTGTACCAAATTTAGTACACAATAGTACAAATTTCCAAAACTTCCTACATACCCCAATCCTACACCTTCACACTGATCCTTAATCAAAATTTCAGGATTCAAACTGTATCGGTTCACTCACAATTCAAATTGTACCAAATTTAGTACACTTAGTGCAAATTTCCAAATCTTCCTATATACGCCAATCCTACACCCCCACAGTGATCCCAAATCTAAGTTTCAGGATTCCAACTCTATCGGTTCACTCACAACTCAAATTGTACCAAATTTAGTACACATTAGTAAAAAATTTTAAAACTTCTTACACATCTCGATCTTACACCTCAACAGTGATCTTGACTCCAAATTTCATGATTCTAGATCTATTGGTTCGCCTAAAATTCAAAATGTACTAAATTTAGTACCATTTAGTACCCATAAATATAAATTGCTTAAACTGAATCCTGACCCCATTCCTACACTCCTACAGTAATCCTGACTACAAATTTTATTGTTCCCGTTCTATCGATTCACCCAAATCCAAATTGTACCAATTATAGTACGATATAGTACTTCTGTTACACTAAGTAACAAATTTCCAAAACAACGTACATATCCCAATCCTACACTCCGTCGGTAATGTTAATTTCAAATTCCAGGATTCCAGCTCGATTTGTATCTCCAAATTAAATTTGTACGAAATATAGTACACATGTATTAGTACACATGTGTACACGCTTTCAAAACCATCTCCTTAAATAGACCCTACATCTCAACCCTTATTCGCATTCCAAATTTCAAATTTTTAGCTCTATCCATTCACATGCTACGAAATTGTACTAAATTTAGTACGTTTTAGTACTTTTTGCATACTTATAGTTCGAATGTCCAAAAAACCCTTTGCTATATCTTTTCGACACTGCATCAGTGACCCTCATTTAAAATTTAAGAGTAGTCTTGGGCAATATCGTTCAGTTCAGTGATCGAACGAACTAGATCATATTTTTTTAAGTGAACTAGGTCGTTCACCTCGTTCAGTTGCTTATATCGTCCAAATAGGTACTCAGTTCAATTGTCATGACAGCGTATACCAATTTAGACCGACCGTAAAGAATGATTACCTTTCCTATATATTTTCTCCACCTTGTTAATGGGTGGTGGTCCATGGCATAACTCCGTTATATTCGGCAGCACACTTGTTTGGGCGGTAGATGTTGCTCCAGACACCTTTGCCTCTTATTCGTAGTTTCTAGCTCAACGGTTGTCCATGGGGGTGATTTGCTTTTAAATGTCGCTTCATATTATTAACTGACCCTCCAGCTATACATAAAAAATTGCTCTTATTTGACGCCGTTCAGTTGGTCAAAATCAGTGAACCTGTGAACAACACTGAAGGTGTAGAAGAAAATACAATGTCGTTCAGTGACCAACGGCGTTCATTCGGCGTTAATGAATCGTTAAATCGGTCAGTCAGTCAATCACTTACTCTTTTATTAGTCTGGATTTGCGATTATTTCTGTTCAGTAGTGTAATTTGTATTCAACATGCAAAACCTATAAAAATTACATTCAATAAATAGTTTGAAATCAAATTCGACACGCAGAATTTATGCCAAGTAGGTTCTCAATTACATTGTAATTATTTTCATACGTATGAAGACTTTAGATTACAACAATAATGTATCGATTTTATAATGTAGGAGGGTATAAATTAATATTGAATACTATATCCATGTTCTATGTTTATCCTGGTCCCGCAATTTCGAAATAAATGTTTATTCTGTTCGTAATAGTTTTTTAACATTATAGCTTCTACATTCTGAGCTCCTTAAAAGAAAAATATCAACTTTTTTACACAACCACCAAAAATAAATATTTCAACATTTATTTTTTCATAACAAAAAAAATCAAATTTAATTTTTCTACAATTCTAATAAAAAATTTCCTACAACAAACATTATTTTTTTCTTCTAAATTCTGAACTTAAAACAAATAAACAGCATGTTCACAACCCTTATGGATCGGTCCAATACGATCACTAAATGTTTTACCATTAAAATGGAATTTCGTATAGGGCACAGCGTTGAGCGACTTAAAACCCACAGCCTTTCCAACTTTTTGTGAAAAATTCGATGTCCATAGAACGGTCACGGCTTCGGGGCGACGATGGCGCAAACTAGGGTGTATAAATTCTAAACCTTTGCCATCTTTAAGTTCTCGCGTCAACTCCACTGTATGTTGGGTTAGAACCTTGGCAATTCCCTTGCAACCCCATTCCGGTAATGTGGCCAAAAACATCAATTCACAGGTACATTTAAATTGGAATTTCTCAAAAACATCATATTCCGCGTCGACGGCAATCATGAAGTCCATTAGAGATTGAGCTTGGGGCGAATGGGCTTTCTCGTTGCGGAATTTCAGAAAGAAAACATCATCACCATTTTCCGGAATGTACTGAAAATAGAAAAAAAATATTAAAATTGGATTCGGAACAAAAAATATAAAATGAGGCGGGAGGAGAATAACATTCTGTGGACCTATACCCAGGGGCATATAGTACCTAATTAATATTATTTTTATTCTTCTTCCTCTCCCTTCCAAATCTACTTACCTGAATTTTATTGAACGCCACAGCAATTGGTTTTCCACTAGCCTTCTCGATTGCGATCAATGAAACTCCATCCTCGGCGGTGATTTTACACAATTCTCGTAACTCTTGACGTGCTTGCTTATTTTCAGGGAGATTTATTTCCGAACCAATGCTTACCGATTCGTATAAGAAAAATGAGCCATCCAGAACCTAGAACAGAACACAATTCACAATTAATTGATTGATCGGAATTCTATCATTAAAAATATATGTTGAGTTGTTGTTCCCCTAACTTGCCATTCCAGTTGTTTTGTTGTTTTGTCCCTATAGATAAGTATGTTAATTTGTTTACATCGCCAAATGAGCGCACCCCAGTGAGTGACTACGCTAACTGGGAACGGTTTTGAAGAAATCAACTGATACTCGACCAGTTGAAGACCTGTCCAAGCCTAACACAAGGAAAGACTCTTCTTAGTTCTGCTTACTACTTCTTCGCCAACAGTGTTTTGTTCTGTAGACCGTCTTTAAGTTTCTGTGACGAATGCCGTTGCCTTTTAAAATGCAAGAATGTCTCTTTTCTTCGATCAGTTGAAAACCTGTCCAAGTCTAACACAAGGAAATTCCATTCTTCCTTCTGCTCCCTGTGAAAAACTTCCCACTTCTTAAACAGCAGTGTCTTGTTCTGCAGACCAAAGACTTCGAGCATGCGTTTTCTGACGAAGACCGTTGCCTTTTGTAATTAAGTAATTTATCTTTTCTTCACCATCTTCAGTTATGAGTATCATTTTTAATTTTCCGAACGCACTATTCTCTCGGATCGCTGCATAACAGAGCCCGTCTCTATAGCGTCTTCTGGCAACTTTCGCATAAGATGGCGGCTGCTAACCCATTGTTATAACCCTTTTCCTCTTTTTCGTTTGGTTAGTATTTTTAGGTTTCCGGGTCTTTACAGACTCCGATTTTAATGGTTTGCCGATCTCAGGCGATGCTACTAGTTTTCTCAAGGCTTCTATGATCTTTAAGGACTCAAATTCTAGCATAGATTGAATTCGCAACTTGTTAGATCGATGGACTGCATCCATCACCTCTTTTGGATCTCCTTTTTTAAATTTCCGAACCTAATATTCTCATCGATAACCACATCATAGATCTCTGACAACTTTCGCTTAAGATGGCGGTTACTTACAAAGTTGTACTATCAACTTCATCTGTCGTAAAGTCCGAAAAGCCCATTTCGGATTCCCGGTATTTACGCTAGATTCCGATGCAGTGGTCGTCTTCTATATATTAGAACCAGTTTTATCGCCCTCAAATTTGTACTATCAACGTAATCTGTCATAAAGTTCGAATTACCCATTTGGGATTCCCGGTCTTTACGGATGATTCCGATGCAGTGGTCGTCTTCTTCTTCTTAATATTAGAACCAGTTTTCTCGTCCTCAACTGATGGATACTCGTTAGTGACTTCAGGTTGGCTCTGCCTTACCTTCATTCAGCTAATAGAAAGGTATTTTTCGTTTCGAGTTTCACCTGCTCTTCCGGGGACCTTATCCTCTTCGCCGCTTCCGAAGATGTGATGGCTGAGTTGTATCGGAATCATAACCACAGTAGTTCGTCAATGTGGTGAAATGATATAGGGAAATTTATTGAAATTTATTGCTTATCGCGGAGACCGCAAATTTATATCGCGTTTGATGAATCACAATTCCGAGACAATCAAGAATCAGAATCTAGACGATGTGCTCGAGTTGACAAAATATTGTAGTCATAAAAGAAGTTGGAGATCATAAAAACTTAAAAATTGCATTTTCGAAGTGGGTCGGCGGAATTTCACTGCATATGGTGCCCTCAACGATTAGTCCATACAATCTGTAGTACAACACTACGAAGGCTATAAATTATCAACAGGCGTAAGTTTTTCTCCAGCACATTGGGAGGCAGAAATAAAGTCTGTGCAATGGTCAGACAATTTAGAATAGCGACATTCTTTATAACCCTACCATGCGGCAGAATGACCTGAGCTACTAGTAATATTGGTGAAAATAACCGAAGGAATATTATCGAGGAAGCGTCTATCTCCTTCAGAAATCTGAAAAAAGTTTATTTGATCCGATTCACTTACATGTTCGAGATATTTCGACTGCAGAATTCGACTTTTATTTACGATATTCATTGAGCATTTTATTTCTGTTTATGCATCCAGTTATTCCGCCTTTGGAAAAATTCGCATCATTAGTTTTTGGTATACAATTTATAAACATTATGACCGTTTATTTATGAATTGGAAATATTCCGCACGGACAATTAAGGCTTTGACCACCATTCTGGAGACGATTGTAGAGGTTTAAGTTTTAAAAATCTTATCAGCATTGCATGTGAGATTTTAAACTCTTATCTTAAAACACTTCAACGACCAAATTTTAAGTAATACACAAATTTTGAACACCTGTTGTCTGTTGACACCTTTAATAATTGTCACAGTTCGTACTAACATCTTTATTATCGTTCATATTATCATTTTTTTAATACTCACATCTAAAGATTCCTCCAGCTTATCTTCGGTCAATGACCTGATTTCAATTTCACCTAAAAATATTAGGAAAATTATTATTAATTAATCTCTAACAAATATAATTATTTGATATGATTTCATACCATCACAGGTGGTGCTCCAAAGACGACCATTTGTTGCTAACATTGTTTAAACAAAAAAAATTAAATATTCCAGTTAGTATTTCAAGAAAATACCAAAAAAATCAATAAAAATGTATATATTAGGCGACACGCGTGTCTGAACAGCCGGTAGTTTAGCGAGAGACTGATAAACAAAATAAAAACAACTGGATTCTCAAAAATCTCCGTTTCCAGGCGTTTAAAATGCGGAAAGAATGCCAACACACATCTACGCTAACACACACAAATAGACAAAAAGCAGACGACCGTTATACATAATAATAATAATAGTGACGTAGCTCATATAACCCAATAGGAAATGAATTACTCAGAGAGAGAGAGAGAGTGATATGAAGAGAGCAGCGGTGTTTTAATGATGGGAAGGAGAGAACATGCCGTTAATAAAGTTTCAGTGTTGCCCATTCTTTTACATTCATTATGGAAATCGCCGTTAGAAACAAAGAATTGTCATTCCATTCGAATGAAGCCTTTCGAAATTTAGAAAAATTATTATGAAAATTTCCAATTGGGTTTGATAAGAGATATTTCATATCAGTAACAAACTCGTACATTTGATATGATGTGCAGATAATAGCGAGAAACACGACATCTTTATTACCACCCATAATCACCTGTGGTTTATTGCATGTGTTCGGTAAATAAGTCCAATAGAACTTCTATCCTCAACTAATAAATACGTACAAATATTATTACAAAGTAATAATAATTATGATCATTAAAATAAATATTGCATGAGAGTGATTTGCAGTGGGTCACAGAAGTCTGTGAACAGAAATCTTCTTAAGACTATAAATAGGAGTGGATTTTGTTTAAAGTAGCGGATGGTTAAAGATAATTTTTTTTAAATAAGAAATAGTGGCGTAGGGGATGATAGATACTAAGCTACGGCGAAGTCCAGGCTTATCTTTGTCCCTCTTTCATCTAAATTATGGACACTAACCTCCCCGTGGTGCCACCTGGGGTAGCTATTTTCATCATCCGATGAGCTAGTGAGTTCACCCATAAGAACAATAAATAAAATGTGTTGAGGCATCGGGTTAGTTGCCCACACTCGGAAAACCCCTCCTACTATGAAAAAGAAAAGAAAGAGAAAACCAAACCCCCTAATGTTGACGACCCCCGCAAACGTATAAAGGACCACGTATCTGCACTTGGAATGTGCGCAGCTTATACAGAATAGGCGCAGTTTTCGCTTTGGCGGATGTAGTCAAGAAGTACAAAGTCGATATTATTGCCTTACAGGAAATGCGATGGAAAGGGACAGGCGTAAGCAAATCAGACATTTACGCACTGTATTATAGCTGCCATGAAACGAGACGTGAATTTTTAAGAAATAATAAATCAGCAGGTGCCGATGGGTTACAAGCCGAACTATTTAAGACTGGTGGTCAGATGCTTGTAAGGTACAATTTGGCTAGAAGAATGCATGCCCAATGATTGGAACCTCAGCGTCCTGTGTCCCGTGCGCAAAACAGGAGACAAGACTATATGTGCCAACTATAGAGGAATAAGTTTCCTTCCCATTGCATATAAAGTGCTATCCCGCGTTTGAAGCCAATGGTCAATGACATTATTGGACCATACCAACGCGGATTCAGACCTGGCAAATCCTCCATTGACCAGATTTTCATTCTGCGGCAAATCCTAAAAAAAAAACACGAAAACACCTATTCGTCGACTATAAAGCCGCATTCGACAGGCCTATCTGTTTAGAGGTATATAAAGCCATGTCTGTGTTGGGTATTCCTGCAAAATTAATACGGCTATGCAGGATAACTTTAACTGGCACAAGATCAGCAGTTAAAGTCGGAAAGGACCTCTCGGAGCTCTTTAATACCGAACGAGGATTCAGGCAAAGATTTTATATACCTTGGTACCGCAAGGCAACCTCTCCCGCCAGACCAAACTCACACTCTACAAGACGCTGATACTGCCCGTGCTGTTATATGGATCTGAAGCATGGGTACTTGAGCAAGCAGATGAGACAGCTTTTGGAGTGTTTGAGAGAAAAATTCTACGAAAGATCTATGGGCCGATCTGCGTTGACGGTGAATATCGCCGTCGAATAAACCATGAGTTGTAACAGCTATTCTCGGACATCGACATTGTTAGACATATTGAGCTGTAGCGACTACGTGGCTAGGTCGTGTTGTGAGAATGGATTAAGATGCCCCAGCATATAAAAGTGAACCAGCTGGTGGTTCACGCAGAAAGGGAAGGCCACGAATAAGATGGAAAGTGGAAGACAACATTGCCGAATATGGTCTTTCAAACTGGAAAAAATGCTCAAAAGACGGAATATTTTTTAAGCTTGGCTTATGGAACGAAAGTTCAGTCACAAGCCAGCTAAGTAAGTAAGTAATTTTTTATAATAAAAAATAGACCTGGATTTATTAAAGATCATTTTTTAAAATCAAATTTATTTATTAAATATCATTTTTTATAACAAAAAATAGGCGTGGTTTTATTAAAAATCATTTATTATAATAAAAAATAATCGTGGATTTATTAAAGATTGGCTTTTCTAACAGAAAATAATCGTGGATTTATTAAAGTTATTATTTCATACAATTTCTTTTGTATATTATTTGTTATCAATTCAAAGTGATTTCTGCTTATCTAATGGAAGAAGCAGCATGCTTGTAATCAACTGTCAGATTTGTGCCTTTATAGCCCTTCTATTATCAGCTGATTGTTGTCTTCTTTTTATCATTCCAGGGTTTTATCGTTGTTACGCATTACACTCTTTCGTAAACACATTGATAAAACATCAATTTTGCTTTGTGTTCATTTATTATTCGCAATTCTTTTCCACCTACCAATATTCATATCATTTGGAACGCTTTTCTATATGGTTATAGGGATGTTTTAGAATATCATTGCAAAAACAAAAAAACAACGAAGAAGGTCAATTATTAAAATACTGCGAATTAGAATAAAAACATTACAAGGATTGTGATAATTTCCACAATTTTATAAGCAAATACTTGAGTAAACAATTTCGTCCCTGACAACAACAACAAGGAGTTACTATGACGACAACATAACATCAAAGTCATTGGCTAGGACATACCACAAGAAGGTAAGTGGTGGTGGTGGTTTTTTTCTTCTTCTGTGTCATTTACAAAACAATTTCATCAGCTGCTGCTGTTCTTCCTTGCAGCTAACAACTGACCAAAGAACACGTCATTATTTAAAACGCAATAACTTGCCAAAGGATCAAATTGACATTTTGTTTGTGACCATTCAACCGAAGATATTCAAGACAACAAATCATGTTTATTTTGGATAAAATTTTGCCATACATCTTTGTGTATATCCGTCCATTTATAAAATGGTTCCTACACACCTTCACACGTCTAAGTGAATTGCAAAGGATATGTTATGGTGCCCGTTCGGGGGCTAGTCGTACCCGACAAGTTGAACGTTCTTTGTACTTGTCAAAGAAACCTGAAATCCGTCATTTGCTAAGGGAATTAGATGAAGCTGCTGAATATTGCAGCCAGGAGGAACTGATGCAATTCCCTATTAAGGCTGTGGCCGTTGTTCAGCGAGTGAAACGTATTAAGCCGAGAATACATCCAGGTAGGTTTTAATATTATTATTTAATAATTGCAATTTAATTTGAAAAGTTTTTCTTGTAGAATTCACAAATATGATCATATATTCAGATCAATACACTAAATCTGAAGATAGTTTTTAAAAAGACCTAAAAAATCTACTTATAAAGTAGAAAATCTCATAGAAAATCAGTTCTTCTGAAATACCCGGAGGTCTTCTTGAAGACCTACAAGTATTCTCCTAGTAGACCAAAAGGTATCCTCCCAGAGGAGCAGATGTTATTATCCTAGAAGTTCTTCTGTAAGAGAAAAATTAAGTACTCTATGAGAATACCCTCTCGTCTTGTATAAGAAGACCCTTTCCACAGATTATGAGAAGAACCTAATGATTAGATCCGTTTATCTTCTAATAAAAAGTTCTGTTAGTCTACTAATGAGAAGATCCGTTGTTAAAACTTCAGAAAGTCTTCCTATAGAAGTCTCTTTCGTCTTTTATAGGTATACCCTTTGGTATTCTATTAGTAGACTCCTTCATCTTACATGAAAAGACTCATTGGTCTTCAATGGGAAGGTCTTTTCGTTTTGTTCAACTATTAGAAAATCATTTCGTCTGCTATTAGAAATCCATATCATCTTCTGTGAGAAGACCATTGTGGCCTTCTAAATAAAGGCTTGTTTGTTATACGGCGTGGATAATTTTCCCTATGCCCAATATGGCGCCAATTTATTAAATAATAATTTTCCAAGGTCCAATCGTCCTGATTTATTAGATGCCCAGGAAGTCCTCAGATGAAAACCCAGGAGAATAAAAGATCAGAAGGCCTCTTATAGAAGACTTTGTCTTGATCGTAGGATATTAACATTGCTTTGTTCTTGGAAAGAAACCTTTTAAAAAAGACAACCGCGGAAAACTAAATTACTAAAACTAAACCACTAAAAACATTTAAAAAAAAACCAAGCCTAAAAATAGGCAACTGAAACACGCAAAAAATTTTAAAAACTTCACGCCTAAAATTAGGCAAATGAAACACGTAAAAATTTAAAAAAAATCCACGCCTAAAAGTAGACAACTGAAACACACTTTATATTTGGTATGGGCCACTAAAAATAATTTTTAAAAAATCCACGCCTAAAGTAGGCTCCCAAAAATATTTGGTATGGGTCACTAAAAATAATTTTAAAAAAATCCATGCCTAAGGTAGGCTCCCAAAAATATTTGGTATGGGCCACTAAAAATAATTTTTGAAAAATCCATGCCTAGGGTAGGCTCCCAAAAATATTTGGTATGGGCCAGTAAAAATAATTTAAAAAAAAAACACGCCTAAGGTAGGGTCCCTACTTTGGCGTAAGCCTATTTTACTCGTACTATTTTTTTTATTTCTAATCTAAATATTAAAATTTTCCTAATAACATTCCTCTTTATTCTTGCAGATTTTGCTGGCCTATTTGGTAGTTGTGTCCTGCACATATGGAGCTATAAACACTTGATGCATGAAGTCGAAAGGCTAAGAGCGGAAATGTATGATTCTGATAATTTGGAACATGAACAAAAACTATTGGAATTATGGAAACGTTTAATGCCCGATGAAGAGCTAACCGGACGCATTACAAAACAGTGGCAGGATATTGGATTTCAGGTAAAAATTTAAAATAAATATTAAAGAAATTTTTTTGTAATACAAAATTTCCCTTCACATTCTTTCAGGGTGATGATCCAAAAACCGATTTCCGTGGCATGGGTATGTTGGGTCTGGAAAATCTTCTCTTCTTTGCCCGTGAATATAAAGAAGCTGCCCATCATGTACTGCTGCATTCACGACATCCCAAATTGGGTTATACATTTGCCATTGTTGGCATTAATCTAACTGCCATGGCATATCGCCTTCTCAAGAACGGTGATGCTAAAACACATTTCTATAATTTGGCACAGGCCATTAAACAGCCATGTTCGTTAAGGCATTTCCATAAGCTATATTGTTATTTACTCTTTGAATTTGATCGTTTTTGGTTGGAATCGGAACCGACAAATATTATGGATTTCCGTGAAATCTATCAAAATTTTGAAATAACAATTATTGAAGCATTGCAGCGAGATACGACAATTTTTAAGACCAATTTAGTTGTTGAAAATGTTTAGAAAAACAAAAACAAATCGAAAGAAAATTTAAATTTAGGTTAAAATTTTTGTTGCACTTTGAAATATATTTTATTGCTAGGAAGAAATTATTTATATTTTGTAAATTTATATGGACACTAATCAAAATATGTAGTTTAATTACTAATTCAAGAATTTGTGTATTTTGTAATTTTAAAGAAATAAAAAATAACAATCACGCAAATATATTTTTTAATTCTTTATGGAAAACCAAAACACTGTTGCGTGATGTCTGAGAGTATTAATTGGTATTAATATTATCGTAGATGATATTAATATTATCGTATTAATCACAGAAGAAGATACTGCAATTGAAATAAATATTAAAAAAATTAAGTCCATTATTTATCCACCATTCAACCGTTTCATATTGAGATTTTTGCAAATTTTTATCACAATTCATATTATGGCTTTCTACTTCATTCCAACACTTCCGTATAAAAATCAGCCACTTAAATTGTAATTAATACCCTGAGCACAAACACACACACGTATGCATGTTTGCTAAATATTTCGCAAATGACCAAAACTAAATGCTGGGCATATCATCTTTCACCCAACCAAAGAAACTAACTGCCACACAAACGATGAGTCATTTTAAAAACTTAATTATTCGAAAACACATTCTCTTGTCTATCTTTCACTTTTATTGCTATTTGGTCAAAACAGTTGTTGGCCAAAAAATGAAGGTCATTCAACCACAACGTTCGCTTTTTGTTTAGCTTTAAACCATAAACGTGTGTGAGTCACAAGTGAAGAGAAACAAATTTGCAAAAAGAGGGGGGTCAACATAGAAAGTGAGTTAAAATAAAAATGGACTTCTGGGGTGTTCTACGGAAGGCTAGGAGGATCTTCTCATAGTAGGCCAATAAAAAAATAAAAGGCTCGTCAACTAAAAAAAGTCAGGAGAGCAATGAAAATTATAAAATTGCTTTATCTCTATTTGTGCCACTCTTCGTCGCTCCAGAGGAAAGGTGTTAATGGAAAAAATGCTCTTCACCAAATTTCACTATGAGTCCCAGTATAAATGAAATTTCTCGCTATACTATATATCAAGAAAAAAATCGCTAACAATTTAAAATTCATAATAAATGTTTGGTTATTTTCGTTGTATTTTCGAATTGAGGCGTTTTTCCACCATACACTTCATTTTAGAAGGGTGGTCTTAAAGTAGAAAATATTCTCTATCAAATTTTATTATGGGTTCCAGAATAAATAAAACCGATATCTATAACATATATTAAGAAAAAATCGGAATCAAATTCACTATTTAAAAATGATTGGTTATTTTCAAATTTATTAAATTTGCCATCTTATACTTCCTTTTAGAGGGGAGCTGTTAATAGAAAACATATTCTACGGGAGTTTGATTATGGATCTTGGAACATAAGAAATCGGTAGGTGTAGTATATATCGGGAAAAATCGGTATTAAATTCGATACATAAAAATGTTCGGTTATTTTCCTTGTATTTTCGAATAAAGCCAATTTGTCGCCATACACTTAATTTTAGAGGGGAGATATTAAAGGAAAAAGTGTTCTTCAACAAATTTCACTATGGGTCTCAGAATAAATGAAACCGGTAGCTATAACATATATCCCGAAAAAATCGGTATCCAATTTGATACATAAACAATTTTCAGTTATTTTCCTTGTATTTTCGAATTAAGCCAATTTCTACCATATACTTTTTTTTAGAGGGGAGATGTTAAAGGAAAATGTGTTCTTCACCAAATTTCACTATGGGTCTCAGAATAACTGAAACCGGTAGCTATAACATATATTCCGAAAAAAAACCTGTTTTAAATTTAAATACATAATAAAAACTGTCTGTAATTTGTATGATATTTTCGAATAGAGCCAATTAATAAATTAGTAAGTTTAGAGAAAAAATGTTAATAGAAAAAGTATTGTTTATCGAATTTCTCTATGGGTCCCAGAATAGATCAAACCGGAAGCTATAACATATATTCTGAAAAAATCGGTATAAATTTTGATACCTCAATTTTTTTTTCATTTTTATATTTTTGAATTGTGCCAATTTCTGCCACTATAGTTCATAATAGAGGGAAGGTGTTTAGAAAAAAAATATTCTCCATCGAATTCTACAATAGGCACCTGAAGAAAAATAAATTGTATCTATAATACATACAAAGATAATATCAGTTTCAAAATGGATATATTTAATAAAAATGACAAACTCAGTCCTTTCAAACTTGATCCTAGAGAGTAAGTGTCAATGAAGAAAATATTCTACATCAAAGGATTGCTTAATTATTATATTTTCAAATTGGTCCAATATTTTACCCTTAACTTACATTTTGAAGATTGGTATGGAAATGGAAAGCAGATTGAAATTGAAATTTTAGAATTCCCTCGAACAATTTGTGCAACATTTATGAAAATCGGTTAAGTTGTCGCTGAGTTATTTGCATTTGAATTCAACGATGTTCCAAAATACACCTACTGTTCGTTGCTGGGCACCTGTTACACGAAAATGAAAAATTACACAAAAATTGACTTTTGAAAAACGGCAATTTTTCATTCATAATGGCCTCCTCGTTTGTAAAGAAAATTATAGTATACTTGTAGGCTGAGTGTATAAAAAAGATTTTCATTCTGCTTACGAATTGAGGCTTTTTTCCACCATATACTTTATTTTAGGGGGCTGGTCTTAAAGGATAAATCGTTCTCTATAAAATTTCACTATGGGTCCCAGAATAAATGATACCGGTAGCTATAACATATATCCCGAAAAATTGGTATCAAATTTAAATACATAAAAAATGTCTGTAATTTTTATGATATTTTTGAATAGAGTCCATTAGTCCCCATATACTTAATTTTACAGAGAAATTGTTAATAGAAAAAGTATTGTTCATCGAATTTCACTATGGGTCCCAGAATAAATTAAATCGGTAGCTATATATCCCGAAAAATCGGTATCAAATGGGTACATACAAAAATATGCTGATATTATGGTATTTTGGATGTGTGCCAATTTATCCCACTATACTTCATCCTAGAGGGGAGGTGTTAAGAGAAAAAATAATCTCCATCAAATTCTATAATAGGCACCTAAAGCAAAAAAATCTCTATCTATAATACATACAAAGATAATATGAGTTTCAAAATGAATATATTTAAAAAACGACAATTTTTTATTTTTTAGTATCTGCGATTGATGGCGATTTGTCTTCTCACTCTTCATTCTAGAGAGTAAGTGTCAATGGAGGAAATATTCTTTATCAAATTTCAACATAGGTCTCTGAACAAATTAAATTGGTAGCTAAAGTATATGTCCTGAAAAAAATTAGTATCAAATTCGATACATATAAAATGTTAGGCTTTTTAATTCTATTTTCAAATTGAGTCAATATTTCGCTCAAAACTTCATTTTTGAGGAGTGGTATTAATGGAAAACATATTCTTCATCAAATTTGACTATAGGTCTCCGAAGTAAGGAAATTGGTAGCTACAACATATATCAAGAAAAAAAGTCGGTAGAAAATTCAATAGATAAAAACATTTTTGGACTTTTGTTCCACTTTCGAAATTTGTCAATTTATCCGACCAGACTTAATTTTGGATGGGAGATGTTAATGGAAAGTATAATCTCCGTCAAATTTCACTATGGGCCTCCGAAGTAAGGAAAATTGTATCTATAATATATCTCTGTAAAATATTCAATTTTAAATTCATAACATTAAAAGTATAGGTTATTTTTTTACGATGTTTGAATTGAGACAATTTCTCACTCTATAATTCATTGTATCGGGATTGTGTAAATGGCAAAAATATTTTACATCAAATTTTACTATGGGCCTCTGAAGTAAGGACATCGGCAGCAATAATAAGTATCTGTAAAATTCAATACATTTAAATCAAAATGAATATATTTAAAAAACGACAATTTTTTATTTTTTAGTATCTGCGATTGATGGCGATTTGTCTTCTCACTCTTCATTCTAGAGAGTAAGTGTCAATGGAGGAAATATTCTTTATCAAATTTCAACATAGGTCTCTGAACAAATTAAATTGGTAGCTAAAGTATATGTCCTGAAAAAAAATTAGTATCAAATTCGATACATATAAAATGTTAGGCTTTTTAATTCTATTTTCAAATTGAGTCAATATTTCGCTCAAAACTTCATTTTTGAGGAGTGGTATTAATGGAAAACATATTCTTCATCAAATTTGACTATAGGTCTCCGAAGTAAGGAAATTGGTAGCTACAACATATATCAAGAAAAAAAGTCGGTAGAAAATTCAATAGATAAAAACATTTTTGGACTTTTGTTCCACTTTCGAAATTTGTCAATTTATCCGACCAGACTTAATTTTGGATGGGAGATGTTAATGGAAAGTATAATCTCCGTCAAATTTCACTATGGGCCTCCGAAGTAAGGAAAATTGTATCTATAATATATCTCTGTAAAATATTCAATTTTAAATTCATAACATTAAAAGTATAGGTTATTTTTTTACGATGTTTGAATTGAGACAATTTCTCACTCTATAATTCATTGTATCGGGATTGTGTAAATGGCAAAAATATTTTACATCAAATTTTACTATGGGCCTCTGAAGTAAGGACATCGGCAGCAATAATAAGTATCTGTAAAATTCAATACATTTAAATCAATGATTATATTCATACGTCTTTCAAATTGAGCCAAATTGTACCCTAATTCTATATTCTAGCGGGATGGTGTCAATGACAAAAATATTCTCCATTAAATTTCAGTATGGTTCCCAAAATAAGTAGTAGACAAAAATATTCTCCATTAAATTTAATGTTCTCCATTAAATTCCGCCAAGGGCCCCCAACCAAAGTAAATTCATAGCTATGATATATCTCAAGAAAAATACCCCAAACAAATTTGTATTCCCATCAAATAAAATGGTTAAATTAAAACTTTACATTTTTTAAATAATTTCATTATCTCTTTCCCAAATGTCTATACTTCAATTTAGGTGGTAGGTCTGAAAGAAAAAAATGTTCTCCATTGAATTCCACCAAGGACCCTCGAACAAAGTAAATCCCTAACTATAATACATCTCAAGAAAAATACTCCAAACAAATTGTATTCCCGTGAAATAAAATGGTTAAATTAAAACTTTCCATTTTTTAATCATTTCCATTATCTCCTTTCCATTTGTTTACACTTCAATTTAGGTGGTACGTCGGAAAGGCAAAATTGTTCTCCATTTAATTTCACTAGGCACCCTCGAACAAAGTAAATCCCTAACTATAATACATCTCAAAAAAAATGTCCCAAACTAATTTGTATTTCCATCAAATAAAATGGTTAAATTAAAACTTCCCAGTTTTTATTTAATTTCCATTATCTCTTTCCCAATTGTCTATACATCACTTTAGAGGGGAGGTCTGAAAAGAAAAAATGTTCTCCATAGAATTCCAATAGGCGCTCTCGAATAAAGTAAATCTCTAGCTATAATATATCTCAAGAAAAATACCCCAAACAAATTTTTATTTCCATCAAATAAATGGTTAAATTAAAACTTTCCCATTTTTTAATTGTTTTCATTATCTCTTTCCCAATTGTCTATACATCACTTTAGAGGGGAGGTCTAAAAGGAAAAAATGTTCTCCATTGAATTCCACTAGGGACCCTCGAACAAAGTAAATCCCTAACTATAATACATCTCAAGAAAAATACACCAAACAAATTTGTATTCCCAATGAAATAAAAAGGAAAATTTAAAAAAAATCTCAATTTTTAATTGATTTTCATTATCTCTTTCCCAAATGCCTATACTTCATTTGAGAGGGAAGGTCTGATAGGAAAAAATGTTCTCCATTGAATTCCACTAGGGACCCTCAAACAAAGTAAATCCATACCTATAATACGTCTCAAAAAAAATAACCCAAACAAATTTGTATTCCCAATGAAATAAAAAAGGACATTTTAAAAAATGTAAATTTTTAATTGATTTTCATTATCTCTTTCCCAAATACCTATACTTCATTTGAGAGGGAAGGTCTGAAAGGAAAAAATGCTCTCCATTAAATTCCAACAAGAGTCCCTGAACAAAGTAAATCCATAACTATAACACATCTCAAGAAAAATACACCAAACAAAATTGTATCAAATAAAATAGTTAAATTAAAACTTTCCATTTTTAATCATTTTCATTATCTCTTTTCCATTTGGTTACACTACAATTTAGAGTGGAGGTCTGAAAGGAAAAAATGTTCTCCATTGAATTCCACTAGGGGTCCTCAAACAAAGTAAATCCATAACTATAATACGTCTCAAGAAAAATACCCCAAACAAAATTGTATTCCCATTAAATAAAATTGTTAAATTGAAACTTCCCATTTTTAATCATTTTCATTATCTCTTTCCGATTTGTTTACACTTCAATTTAGGTTGTAGGTCTGAAAGGAAACAATGTTCTCCATTAAATTCCAACAAGGGTCCCTGAACAAAGTAAATCCCTAACTATAATTTGTAACAAGAAAAATATCCCAAACAAATTTGTATAAATAAATAAAACTCATTTGTTTTGTTTTTTGCGTTTTTCTTAGTAGAAGTTAGTATTTATTATATCAGATAAATGTCATTATATATTGTAGGTTGGTATGATGCGTATTTATCGTATTTTATATAATAAATTGTAATCCATTGTCGTTTTGTTTGTTCCATTTAAAACAAGAAATCAAGCATATGTGTTGGGTAGTATACTTTTTTCGAATTTCTGGTTTGTGTGGTTAACGCACAAAACGATAATGCGGTTTTGGGGTTTGTTTTTTGAGGGGGGTTCTCCCAAAAGTTGCCCCCAATTTTTTTTTATTGCATGATCATGGTGTTGTTGATCTGCAGAATTTTTTGTTTTTGTGTGATTATTGTTGTGTTGTTAGTTTTTTTTCGTTATTATTGTAAATCCCTTAACAACACCTTTTGTTCTACCACACCGCCAGCAATTAATGTTACACGCCTCCACCAAAAAACTCCAAGAAGTGGCAAAGACCTAGATGTCAGCTGTTAAAGCGGTCTTAATGCTATGCGTAATGGACATATTATACCAGGCATATCAAGTACGTCAACATGTTTCGGTTTTTTTTAACGATAGTGGGTTTGGATAATAGCCCTTACACGGCCAAAAGATCTTGGGCTGGCTGCTTCAACCTTCTTGTCATTTTCCGTTGAAGGAGTGGCATTAGTTGTGGTGTGTGGTGGAATGGAATGGATGTTGAAAAAGGGGAATATTTTGTATTATGACACAACGGGTGTTTTTTGTTAGCTGCTTAATATCTAAGTTTCGGGGTCTTGCCTATAATTGTATGTATGTGAAGTGAGGGAGGAGAGTGACACAATTCCCTTCCTTACACCAGATGTTAGGCCTCACTGTGCTGAGAAATAATAACCCTTTGGTTATGCCATATTGCGAAAACATAACGCTCTTCTTGGGATGGTGTTAAGAAGAAAAGGGGAATTATCCTCCACTGCGAGAAAGGTGTTGTGGGGGAAATGTGCCCGCCTGCCCCTCTCGTACTCCATTTTTTTACAATTTTAGTACAATCATCGTATCGTTATTTTGTTGTCATTAAATCATCACTTAAAATCTAAAATATTTTTGTCATTTATGTTTATGGGGGGGATGTTTTTGCATAAGTGTTATTTTTACGGGTTATTATTTCATCATTTTTTTTAGGTTATGTTTCATTTTTTTCATTCTGTCAAATATTTTTTGTGGGTTTTTAGTGCATTTTTGCGGTCTATATATGTATTATACCACATCGTATCCATACTAAAATCTAATAATATTAATAATAGTATATAATAATATGTATATATATATATGAAATTTGTTTTTATCAGTTTTGTTGTTACTAATCAAATCGTAATATTATAATAATGTTTTTTTATAATTATTAAATAATTTTGTTAGTGTAAATAGGAACATGTGGATTGACATTGAATTGTCTTTTTGAATTCCACTTCATTTCATATGTTTTTTTTATAATAATATTTTTTTATAATAATATTTTTTTTAATAATATTTTTTTTATTATTATCAATAATAAACATTTTATGTATGTTTTTATTTTTATGCATCATGGGGGGGAATGTTGTTTTGTTTTAAAAGTTTTGTCACACTCAAAACTTTTTTTAAATCATATTTTTTTTTTTTGTTTTTTTATATTTTTTTAAAATTTTTTTTAGTTTTTTTTTTAAGGTTATGTCTTCATCTAATTTTCTAATTAATAATCATCGATCATGATCATTCACATGTATCATCTAGCAAAGAAAGTTTTGTTTTCAAACTTTCCTTTGTTGTTGTTGTTGTTGTTTTTAAAGTTCTTAATTACTAATAGAGATTTAAGAAACAAAATTCCACCTTTGCATTCTGGTTGTTGTTGTTGTTGTGGTGTTTAGCCAAAGGGGAATTTTGTAATATGTTCGTGTTTGATTATTAAATATCAAGTTGTTGTTGTTGTTTTTTTATAATGTCAAAAAAGTGGTAATATTTAGTCTGCTGGAACCTGGTCAAATCCGGGTAATTCAATTTAGGCCAGGGATAACGAAAAGCCTAAATTGTGACACATTCGGTTAATAGGGGGGTGGGGGCTATTATTTTTGTCACAGTTCGCCCCCAAGACATTTTAAACTGATCAGGAATAAAATGTCCAAAGGGCCAACAATTTAAAAAAAATAATTCCCACACAAAATTAGAACAGGATTTTTGTTTTGTGATTCAAAACAAAAACCTGGGTCACTGGCCGGTTAATTTTTTCTAACAAAAAATTGTCTCTTTTTTTTTGTTAAAATATTTTGTTTTACATTTTGTTTTTGTTTTTTTTTTTTCTTACATAACTAGGGGTTTTGTTGTTGTTTTTTGTTTTTGTATTATTTATCATAATTCCAAAAATTATGAAGCGAGGTTTTGAGTTATGCGAGTTTTTTTCAAAGGTTTTACCAAATTTTGTGTTTTTGTTATCATCAATTTCATTTTCATTAGTTTATAATTTGATTTTGTTGTTGTTGATTTTTTTTTTCAATACTTAAATATTATTTTTCATTGTCCATTTAAACATTAGCGAGGGGGGTCAATATCAATATCCGCATATACTCCAAAGCGAACAAATTCCAATAGCCATAAATCCAAAAATCATAGATCCAAAAGTACATTAATCCATAGGTCATTAAGCCCCAAGTTGCGAAAACCAATAACTGTATACCGTAAATCCATAAATCGTAAACCATTTTCACAAGCCAAAGGGTCGTCATCATCGAATCAGTCATCAGTCAGCCAAGGTGAAATTCTAACGATAAAATTTCACCTCAGCCTCAACACAATCTTTCATCAGCTCATCCAATTCCTCAGTAACCACGGGATGTTCCTTCAAATAAGCCGTAACCTCTTCAACACATGCCGCTTCCAATGCCTTCAAATGTTCCAATGCCGATACCTTACGTTGTCCATGCAATTTGTGTAGCAATGTAATGTTCCCACCATCAGGTGGGGCCTTAGTTAATGGCGATATTTTCGGTTTGGGTGCAAATACAAATGGTTTAAACACAGATTCACTAGTATTCGGTGTAGCCGTAAACCAATGCGAGGAGATGCCATTTTTCGACAGAACAAATACCGATGCCGAGCGTGATGATTCTTCCTTAGCAGCCGATCTCAACGTTTCAAACATATCCGTTACCGTAAATGTACCATCGTCGGGTGGTTTATCGCCACACCATTCCGTAGAGGCTGTTGGGGTGCTATCAAATGCGGCAGCAAAATCGATTTCACCCTGGAATTCAAGAAAAAAATAATAAAATTGGATTAATAGGTGGGGGTTTTATTTTATAAAAATTAAAAAATAGGGTTAGAAATTGAAGATGTTTTTCCACCTTTGAAAAATGTTCTGAAAAGCACTTTAAAACGAATTCAAAGAGAATTCGGGAGCGTTTTAAGCAGGCTCAGGCAGAGAACCATTTTTTCAACCAAATTACTCTCAAAGAGAGCACGCTTGCGGGGTTTTGCCTAAGGCGGATTTAAAGCGACCCAAAGGGAGACTTTTTAGGCTAGCTCAAAGAACCTAAAATAGAAATTTATAGGCGTTCAAGCGAGATAAGGGTAGGATTTTTAGGCGAGCTAAATTGTTTCTTGGTAGGAATGAGAGTCATTGTAGGCGAATCAAAGGTCACCTATATAGACCAGCTTATCGTCCTAAGGGCAGTTTTAAAGCCAGTTAAATGGATTTTTATAGGCTAGTTAAAGAAGCCTATAGAGGTGAGTTCAAAGGTGATCCAATAGGCGAACCAAAGGTAGATTTTATAGACAAACCCAGGGTTGTTAATGTGAGCTGAAAGAAGTTTTCACAGTCGATTTGACTTAAAGGGGTATTTTACAGGCGAGCATAGAGATTTTATAAGCGAGCTGAAGCACAGAGTCTTTTTAGGGAGACTGAAAGGAGTCTCAGGCGAGTTATAGGGATCTTTATAGGCCAGTTAAAGGGATAATTATAGGCTAGTTAAAGGGAGACCAAGGGGAATCTTAGAAGACAGCCAAATGTGAATTTTATAGATGCTTCTAGATGTGCCTCGGCGAGCTGAAAGAAGTGTTCAAGTCGATTTGCGGAGCTAAAAAGAGCATTTACAGGTGAGTAGGAGCATGAAGTCTTTAAAGGCATGAAGACTAGTAGACTGTATAGGGTTAACTGAAAGGAGTTTCAGGCGAACTATAGGAATCATTTAAGGCTATTTCAAGGAGTATATAGAGGTGAGTTAAAGTGAACCAAAGGGAGACAACCCAAGGGGTGCTGAAAGCAAACTAAAAAGTAGTCACCACAGTCGTATGGCGAGCTAAAGGCAACTATTACTGGAGAGCAGATGCATAGAACATTTATATACGAGCAGAAGATGAGAGATTTTATAGATAAACTGAAAGGGGTCTCAGGAGTTATTCTAAGCAGTAATCTGAAGACAATCCTAATAGGCGAGGCAAACAATTTTTTATAGACCAGGCTAGGTGTGCCAAAGTGAGCTGAAAAGGGAAACTGAACGTAGTCTCTATAAGTTAAATAGAACAGGAGAATTTTTTTGGGAGTACAAAAAAAAAGTGTTGAAGGCAACTTTTTCAGGCGACCTATAGGAGACTTTCAGGAGGGCAGAAAGGTCCCTTTATAGGCTAGCTCAAGACAGTATTTATATGCGAGCTGGAGGTTCTCAAAAAATAATGTAGATGAGCCAAAGGACGTTTTTCTAGGCGAGCTGAAGGATAATTTTTCGGTGAGCAAACAAAAAACTTTCACGAGCGAGCTGATTGGAACCTTCTCAGGCGACTTGAAGGAGACTTTCTAGGTGGGCCATAAAAGTCTTTTAGGCGGACAGAAAGGACCCTTTAGAGGCGAGTTGAAGGAGACTTTATAGACGAGCTTAGGGTAGTCTCTAAACACGACCTCAAGGGACTCTTTATAGACCTGAAAGAGACTTTCAAAGTGAGCCAAAGGCGTACGAATGGTAGTCCTAATAGACAACCTAAAGTAAGTCTCTTAGGCGGCCTGAAGGATATCCTATATAGACCACCTGAAGAGAGTCTCTGTAGAAGATCTAAAGGGAGTCACTAAACACGATCTGAAGCGAGTATCTATCGATTTGAAGGAGTCTTCAAAGGTAAGCTAAAGGTAATTTATAGACCTTATAGTTGAGCTGAATGGAATCTCAATAGACAACCTGAAGGGAGTGTCTTAAGACGATCTGAAAGGACATCTGAATAGAGTCTCTGTAGAAGACCTGAATGGAGTCTCTAAACACGACCTGAATGCAGTCACTATCGACTTGAAGGAGACTTTCAATGTGAGCCAAAGGCGAGATGAAGGAGATATATTATAGACGACCCTATAGAGGGAGTCTCAATAGACAACATGAATGAAGTGTCTTTAGACGACCTGAAGGGTGACCTCTATAGGAACATTTATGGTCGATCTGAAGAAAGTCTTTGGTAGAGATCAGCTCGACCAGAAAAGACTCCTTCTCCAACATTGTAGACTCTATAGACGAACTGTAGTATGGAGTAATTTATAAAGGACCGGAAGCCGAAGCCCTTTCATAAACGTGACGGAGACGAGCTGAATGGAGTGTTTATGTACTACCTGGCGGCAGCCTTTAGAGCCACCCTGGAGACAATCAATATATACGAGTTGGGAGGAAGTCTTTATAGGAGCTTTAAACGAGCTGAAGCCAAAGAGTATTTTATAAAAGAATCAGAGACAAGACAAGGCGATCTAAGGGTGTCTTTAAGGCTGAAGGCGAAACCCTTTAGTAAACGTGCGTGGGTAGAGTGAGATTAGCTAAATGCTAGCTTTATTGGTTAGAGTGTACATTAAAGACGAGCTAAATGGCAGTATTTAGAGTCGACATGAAGGCAATCAAAATAGACGAGGAGTTGAAAGAGATCCTTTATATCAGCTTTATAGGAGCTGACGTCAGAGATTATTATAAAGATATCTATTAAGGAAGGACCCAATGTAAGTCATTTCGACGAGCTGAATAGATGAGCTGAAAATATTCTGTAACTGGATGGAGCTTTTCCTAATGGACAAAAAGGGGGCGTCTATTAAAGGTGAGCTGAGAGAGTAGAGGGTCTATTATTAAAGATCGCGAGAGAGGGGTTTTATAGCATAAAATGTTAATGTACATCCGGATGACATACTAAAAAAATATAGCTAGTGTTTTATAGGAAGAAAATATTCAATACCCTTTAATAAAAATTCCCTGTGAATTTCCTCTTCATTATAATCAGTTGGGAGGGGGGAGCCTTTATATGAGACTTCTGAGGAGCTGAAGGCAGATGGTATTTTTATAAAAAAAACCAGAAGCATTAAAGAAGGGCAGAATGTAATCTATGTAAGGAGTCTTTAAAGCCGACCCGGAAGCCCTGCTCAACCTATTCTGCTCAAAATATTCTGTATAGACGAATTGGAAGGCGACTTGAGCGAGAAGAGGGTCTATTATTAATGATTATCTCGAGAGAAGAGTCTATACAATTTTAATGTAAATCCGTATAACATACAAAATATATCCCTAGCTCCCGATAGGATGAAAAAAAAAATTCACAAATAATTTAAAAAAGATGGGATTTGTGAATAAACTCTACCGAAAAGTATGAATTTGAATTGCCATTCCCAAAATTTTTATAGTAGAGGCCGTTATTAATTTATTTCTCCAAAGTCGGGGGTTTTCAGAACAGTTTTCACTTTCAGAATAAACAAAAAAAAAAAAACATCTTCAATTTCATCGTAATTGAAAAACAATCTCTATATAGAAAAAATTATAGAATATTAATACAGAATTAAATATTTTGAATTATTTTTAGTGGCATTATACAAATCGTACAACAATAACAACAACAATATGACAAAACAAATAACCTCAAAATGTTACGAATTTGTTTTTTTTTTTTAATTTTCAAAAGCCCTTAGCATTGAAATCTGTCACTTTTTATTGTGTCTTAGCAAAAGGGTGAGAGAAGATGGGAGGCTGACAAGGAATCATTAGACAAGTTTCCTTTATTTATGTTCACTTTTTTTTCTACATAGAAAATGTCCTCCGCATACGTTATAGAATTCAAATCTTTTATAAAAAAACATACCCAATATTTATAGATTTTTGTTTTCTTTCTTTCTATTTTTTGGATGATGGAATCTGCAAAGTATTTTCCATTTTCATTCTTTCAGTCTTTTGTTTAAAATAAATCAACAGTTTTGTTTTTGTATTTTTCTTTGTACATTTCATTCCAATAATCATAGTCCATTGTTCGTTAGCCAAGTGTTGTCGACAGGATGTCATTGTGTGCGAGGATTTTTATAGAGTTCATTTTCGGTTTTGTTTTATTATCATTATTTTTTTTTTTTTTTTAATATTCCATTGGCTCTCCCGCCTATAGATGAACCAAAAACAAAAAAACACATAAAATGGTTTGAAGAGAAATTATTAGGAAAATGTTAAAAAAAATTAAATGCATGGAATATGGAACATATAGTTATTAATTAAAAACTAATGATTATCCCATCACCCTTTATTAGAACACAAGAAAAAGTTATTCAGACTAAACCTCAGGAGCCTCTAACATATTGTTTGGGACTTGGCTAAATCGGTATAGAACAAGAATATGTATTCTTTATGGGGTCGAGATGTTGGAAACCGAATGGCAAATTTAATACAAGCTCCTCCTTGGTGACTGATATAAAAATCATACCCTGCGACCTCTAGAAATTTCCAAATTAAAAAAACGATTTCCAAATATAAACCAAAAAAAAAACGATACCCTACACAACTACCACGGAACTCAAATTTTCTCTCCGAGCCTGGGCAATACTTGGTGATATTGGCATGCCCGATTAGAGGTAAACAGCACCTCTTCCTCACACTGACATATTTTCCGAATATTACGAAAACAGCTATTGTCCAGATTACCTTCAACGTGGGTTGTGTTGTGATGTTCGGCTTTCATTTGTGGTCTATATATCGACTCGAAAATAACACAAACAATTAAGTTTTCGGTCCACATCAGTCCAAAATTATTATCTGATCATCACCACAAATTATAGGCGTTGTCCTTGACCATAACTGGAACCTGGAACATTTCAAAGTGATTTTTTTTCCGCGCTCTGGAGTGATAATGGGTTACTAAATAATATAAATTACCTGTAAATATTTAGGTGTAACTCCCACATCCGAGCACATACATCAATATAATTGGTATTAATTTAAAGGTCAACCACTACTCTTGGATATAATATCAACTTCT